TGTGTGTGTGTGTGTGTGTGTGTGTGTGTGTGTGTGCACACGCACATTAACACATAGAATATACAGTAACAGGACAAGTATATGGGTTCAAATTAATACAGTTCCAGTAAATGAGCCATTTGTCTTGCCCCAGCAATCATAGTGAAAATGATTGTCCTGTGAAATGTCACATAAGTGCGGTGGACCAGGTGCAGCTGCAGGTGGTAGAAATGTAACTTGATATTTTCCAGCTTTCCAGCATTAATACCTTTCTGACAGGAAAAATTGAAAAAACACAGAACACACACACACACAGACATTTCAATTGTTACAGAGAAAACATTAGTCTAGTAAATTTCACCGCATTGTGTCTCACTAATTTCTGCTCTTGGCATTGAAGGAATAAGTGTCTGTTCTTTGCTACTGAATGAAAAACACTGTGTCCAAAATAAATGGGGAATAATGGATATATGGACATTTGTTGCCGTCTTCTTTCTGGTTGTCAAAAGAAAAACTTGTGATGTTTTGTTTCATAATTACTGATTTGTGTAAATTTCTTGACAACATGTTATTGCAATAAATAAATTTCACAACCTGATAACCTGCCTTACTGTACAACCTGCTAACTTCAGTACAGAGTAGGGTCACGGGTCAAAAATCCATATGTCTACCTTTATTTAATCAGTGTAGATGGTAGTCCATAGCAGTGTATGTAGTACAAATGCTCTTTTTCCAGGACTTTCCAGGATTAAATGAGGAAGGTAGCATTTTGACCCAAGGTGAGCACCTTTGATTAATCTATAATCAATTGGTTATAATGATTTTATCAAATTCAAATTGTGAGCAGATTGGATCCTTGTTTATTTAGCACTCATCAAAACACAATATTGATTATATTTTCCTCTTTTGAATAAGACAGCGAGGTAATTTGAAGTGAGCTGCAGTAGCACCACATTTTCACAGGTTATAATAAGCACAATGTGTGTACTTAGCAGGTAGTTGTGAGGTTTTCTCTTTTTAACTCTTTTCATCATTATTTTTGAAAAAATA